AAGAAGGATCACATTGAGATATTTATCAATAAATGGGCACAGCTTGAGACCATACTCATAAGTGAAATAAATCAATCTCGCATGTGTGAATACCGAATAGTTTCCCTAATGTAAGTAATGATTCAAATATATAAAAATATGTGGTAATCATGATTCCCCATTAGGTGGCCTTGAAGCCTTATAAAGTTTTCACTCATTAATTAGAAAGGCTTTATTCTGGGCTTCTTGATATGAAAATATTTGAAGCTAGAGTATATGAAGTTTTACCCAAATATTTCAAGGAAAAAGACACTATGGTAACTACTATTAAGTCAGGTTATAAGGTGGTGAAGTACTAGGTTATTGAAACAGTCATGCTGTGACCTCTATTGTTATATTGTTATGTCCTGTTTTATCTCAATCTCCCCCTTATTGTTTCAAAAAAAATTATTTAGTCATTTCTTATGTTTGTCTTAATTAAAGAAAAAATTCAAAAAAATTAGGATATATAAATAGTAACTCTTTTCGATTTCCTATTAACTTGTTTTGAAGTCCTGTAGTACTCCCACGATCTTGTTTTGACTGATTAGACTCTGTTCCATTCTATATGATAGTATCAAGTTTGAAGACATAGGCAACTACTTTGAAGACAATAAGATTCACTAAGATACCCATTCTGGTTTGACTATTGTCTTCTTTGGAAGTCCTGTAATGTTTACAACACCTAAGTTTTATTGGTCTTGTTCTCTACTGTTTTGTCCAACTTTATAATATCTAATAAGATAGACAATTCTTTTTAAGGAAACAAGGGACAACGTTGATAACCATTGTTGATAAACTTGTACTCTGTTCTACACCATGTGCTATGTCTATCCTTGGTATTGACTGACAGCTTTGTTTTGCCACATTTGACTGTATTCTTCCCCCCCCCCAAAGAAAGTAATAAGCACTAAGGAGTAATAAAATCCAAGATGTGTAAATTTTGTTGTAAAAAAGAGAGGGAAAAAAAAAAGAAAAGGAGCTCTAACGGATATAACAGCAAGTGTGTTTGGGGGTGTTAAATAGCTGACTTTATCAATGTTTTTGGAACATTGAACACAGCTGTTTGCAGTCTCCCTGTTTGAATGTCCACCTTGTGTTCTTTGATACTGTGATTTGAGGAACTATTTTCAAGAAAATAGTGTGTAATCTACTAGCAGGTAATTTCTTACTGTTATGGTTTTTTGTTTTGTTTTGTTTTGTTTTGTTTTGTTTTGTAGTTCTGTATTGCGTGTACCCTTACGCCGCTTTGGTTTGTTTTGTGTTTTTCTCTTTTTCCTCTTTAATAAAAAAAAATAAATAAAAAAAAATTTAAAAAAAAAAAAAAAAAAGAAACCTGTACAGAGGACCAGATGTCTGGTGACCTTGGAGGAGACACACACCTCTCATTGTGGGCCAAATCTCAGGACAGTAGGCAAAACAAATGCAACCACACTCTTAAGTATAATCTTTAGGGATTGTCTGGTTCTTCTTAAGAAGCCAAGAGTCACCATCCCAACCCCCTATAGGAAGAGTCACTGATCCATAAAGAATGCTTGCTTGCTACATGACTCGCTTCCCCATGTGTCCCTGATTTGGTCAGTTTTACCTGAACAATGAAACTTACTGGTTGACCATAGCTCATGTCCATCTGCCTTGTGAGTTCCCAGTTTTCCTCACTTTAGACCCACCTCACCTCATGATTTTACTCTATACAAATCTTGAGAAAATACAGAATCTTTGGCAACCCACTCAGGACCCCTTCTGTCTCTCTTTCAGACAGAAGCTTTCTTTCTCTCAATAAATATTTCTGCTCTTAATCTGTTGTTCCTAAAATTCATTCTGCAACTTTAGAGAACACAAATTTATTCCAGACATATAATAGATTGGGAGTTTCATTCCCCTATATCATTTGGAGGTCCCACCAAAATCACTGGATGGAGGTAAGAGCACTTTTGTTTCATAGACTCTGGACTGGGACTCATTTAGGTAACATTTGTATGCTTCAAATTTTGCTTTGTCTTTGTCAGTTGCTTATAATTACTTGTGATAATTGCTTGCAAAATGCCCATTGTTTTAATTGCCTTGTCTCTTAAAATAATGAAAGTTATAAGGTCATGATATTTCTTTAATGGTACAATTTTATTATTTTGTTCTTGTACATGTTAAATTTAAATTAGTTGCTCAAGTTACTGGTACTCCTTGCTTGACTGTATTAAGACAATAGCACTAGAGAAAAAAATATTAGAACACCCCTGGCAGGCTTTAATATAAACTTCTGTAAAATGGTTCTTAAATAAAATCTAGCTCAGTCTTAGAAAATATACATGCCTACAGCAAAGCCAGAACTCCTTGCACTAGGCTGGTGGCTGGACTGCAAGAGTTGGAGAAAGTCTTTGAGAAAGACTGGCTCTGATCCTCCCCTATATTCTAGAGGAAATGTCAAACCTGTTCTGCTTCAGTTTCCTTCCTTTGACTCTGACTTTATTTCTATTCTTTTCATACTTTGCACTTTCCTTATAGAGGCATGTAAAGTCAGAAATAATGCTGACCTTTTTCTCCTGTTAAGCTCATAGAAAATGAGTGTTTGCTAATGCCAAAGACAGGAAAATCATCTTAGATGAGGGACACATATCCTGTCTCTGGGTCAGATGAGACATTGGAATTATGCCCATCCAGGAGAGCATACATAAGAACCATGTCCTGGCTTAGTGTTCTGGGCCACATCTCTTTTAGAATGCTTTTTTGGGGGCTGGGGATTTAGCTCAGCGGCATAAGCGCCTGCCTTGCAAGCAGGCAGTCGGAGTTCGATCCCTGGTACTGATAAAAAGGAAAAAGACAAAAAAAAAGAATGCTTTTTTTTTTTTGGTACCAAGGATCAAACTCACAACTTCATGCTTGCCAGGCAGGTGCTTATGCCACTGAGCTAAATCCTTGGCCCACATGTTTTTTAGAGATGGAACCTGAGACACTGTGGGGATAACTGGCTTCCATGTGACAATGGAAGAAACTATTCCCAAAAGCAACCCACTACGGACCCCTTCTGCCTGTCTGTCTCTCAGACAGAGGCTTTCTTTCTCTCAATAAATATTTCTTAACTTCCATCGTTCCTAAAATTCATTCTTCGATTTTAGACAACATGAACTCATTCCAGACATATAGTAGGTTGGGAGTTTCATTCCCCTATATCACAAGTATTATAAACTCATTTCTATATGCTAGAAGAAAGCTAGAAGAGATAGTCTATAAAATTAGGAAGTTTTATTGTCCTCCTAGTGTTATAAACTGAAAGAGTAAATAGAATCCAAAACATACAATGTATATTGTACAAGTAAAAGTAGAAGAAACTGCTCAAAAGGAAAGAACAATCAGGATAAGGGCAAGGAGAACAGAAAGAAGGGAAAAATACTATATATATATATATATATATATATATATATATATATATATATGTATGTAGTATATATATGGATAATATATATGATAGATGATTATATTATTAACCTCTATTCCTCAAAAGGAATGAGTTTTGCTTTTATTGTTTGATCATTTTTTCATGCCTATATATATATATTTTTCTTTTTTGAGACAGGGTCTCGCACTATGCAATTCAGGCTGGCCTTGAGCTCACTTTGTAACCCAGGCTGGTCTCAAACTTGCAACGATCCTCCTGCCTCAGCCTCCCGAGTGCTTGGATTACAGACATGAGCCACCATACCCGGCAATGCCTATATCTTGTAATCTGAGTAACTACTTTGAAAATAACAATATGTAATATGTTAACCATTGTTAATATCCTATTATTTTTTTTTGAAATTCTGTATTATTGTTTTTCATTTAAATAAATAAATTAGAAAGTTTTATTTAATTATTTTGTTTTGATCTGATTTGTTATTTGGTTTTGAGGAGGTAGTTTGTTTATTATTGCATTTCATTTTTTGAGACAAGGTCTTGCTATGTAGTCCAGGCTAAGCCTTGAACTCAGTAGTCCAGGGTGCCTTCTAACTCATGGGGATCCTTCTGCCTCAGCCTCCCAAGTGCTGGGATTAAGGTATATGTCATCACATCCAGCATTTTCTTTGTTTTTTTGACACAAGATGTCACTCTGTAAATTTAGGGTGGCCTTGAACTCACTATATAGTCTAGGCTGGTTTTGAATGAGACAATCCTCCTGCCTTGGCCTCCTAAATGTTGAGATTACAGGCGTGCACCACCACACCTGGCTACTCAAATGATAAAGTAGAATAAAGAGAACACGGTCCTGGTCCCCAGGAGCTCTACTCCTGAGGCCAGAGTGACTCAGCCAGGATTGCAGTGTGGGTCATCAGAGAAGGGGAGTAGGCTCCCTATTGTGAGGTCCCAGTAGAATGCTGAACTCAGACTGACTCCAGCCCTGGTTGGCCTTTTCCTCTTTTCTCATCTGCACCCTCTACCAGGACTCTGCCCACTAGCCTATTTCTGGCCTTTACCCTCCCTCACTGTTTCATGAAGAGGTTTGAGAGCAGATACCTCAGAGCCAGTAGATGTCCTGAGGATGTAGCCTCTGTTGACTCATAAGGTCAGACCCTTGGAGTTCTCCTTAGATTGCTCTAAGGAAAAGGAGTACCCCAAGGACTTATCCTAAATTCTTAGAACCAGATGAGCAATGCTGTTTTGGGTTCTTTTTTTTTTTAATTTAGTAATCACACATCCTTGATCCCAGAATCACATACCCTAGATTGTCTTGGGTTCTTGAAGGACTGTCAGGAAAGTTCAAGAATCTAGGGAGCAAAGATCCAGGTGCAGAGGAAGTACTGCCAGGGATTCAGAACAGGAACACCTGAGTCACCATAAATGGAAACTCCAAGCTGTAGAAAGCCAGATGCCAGGTTCGACGATGAGGGACCCTGGGCAGCAGCCAGTGAAGGACTCTTGAGTACCTGGGATTAGAAGAAATCATGGGCCAGTGTCCAGACAGCCAGGACAAAGCATCCACATAAGAAGTCTGGTGAGTTAAATCCAGGTGTACCTAAAATTGAAGGAAAGGGCACCCTATCCAGCAAACAGATTACCTTGCAGTGGGGAATGGAGATTTTGCAAAGAAGCAACTCAAGATGGAATCTGGCCAGACAGACAAGGAATCAGGACTTTCCAGGACAAGGCAGGGCCTGTGTACTGCATAGACAGTAGAGCCTTTTAGAGTAGAAACTAAGGAGGGCCTCTGACCTCACAATAGCCAGGGCCCAGTGGGCCATCCCTATAGGTTCTGGTGCCCTCTTCCAGCTCGGGCAAGGCCCGAGGCCCTGGGCAGCATCCAGGTGCAGTGGCCTCCTTTGGGCTGCACCTTCTCTGCTGCCCCAGGGCATGTCTCTACTTAGTAATTATGAAGGACTTCGGCAACAAATAGAGAGGCTGGTGCGCGAGAATGAGGAACTAAAGAAGTTGGTGCGGCTCATTCGAGAGAATCAAGAACTCAGGTCTGCGATCAAGATTCAGCCGGGCAGCATCAACATCAGTGCATTCGCCAATGGGCTTGGCGAGGTGGCAACAGGCCCTGCTCAACACCAGGGTAACTATAAGAGGCTGGGTTCAAGGACAGCAGGGAGGGGAGTAAGAGAATGTGCAGAGAGAAGAGACTCAGTATGCTGGGGTCTCGCCAAATCATGGAAGGAGAACATGCATATACCTGTACTCACAAACCTGGGGAACACAGACCCCATCAGGTAAGGGAAGATGACCACATGGGACCATAAGGATAAAAGGGCAAAACTAACTAAGCCCACTGTGCTCCCCTGATGGTAGGAGCTCCTCCCTACACTCCTCCCTGCAACTTCCAAGCAGCACCATAGACTGACTTTCCAGCTCTGGAATCCAAATGGACTGCCCTACTGGGTCCAGCACGTCACTAATCCTCAGCCTCCCTACCCTGACTCCATCCCTAACCTCACCATCCCTAACCTCAGTTTCCCCCGCCCTTGCCTTTAGCTCCCCTTTCCTCTTCCCCGTTACTCTATAATTAGAGATGGCCAAAAGGCAACTGACAACCCACATCTAGAAGCTGAAGAGAAGAACTAGGACTGAAGCTCAAGCTTTGGGAATTATTGATGTGTGATGGAGATGTAGATAGTAGGGTGAGACAGAAGAACAAGAAAAGTTGCAGTTTGCAGAACAGCAGTTTAAATGAGCTTGACCTAAGTATAAGGACTGAGTCAGTAACCAGAGATCGGAAAGCAACAAAGACCCACAGAGCTGTGTGGTGACAGGAAGGAGAGACAAGCCTTGAAGAAGGGGAGGCTGTGGACAGAATGGTCATCTTTGGAGATACCAGGTAGAAAATTTCAGCCGTCAGGCAGCTCCCAGGGTGTGGCCATCGAAGTCTGTGGTTGACACAATTCAGTATGTTGGTGAAGGCTACAAAGGTGTAAGCCGGTGACAAAAGACTGCTGGTTATTGTTCCACTTCCCTCCCTGTAACATTTTTCTGGTCCTAGGGAAGGCTGTGCTGCTTCCTGCCCAAGGCAGACTTTTCCATGTGTGCTCGAGCCTACCCGCCTCTGCAGTGACCTGCCCCCATCACAGACCCGCACCTTTCCCTCCCGGCCTGGCTTGCTGTCTATGCAACATCAGGCACAAACTCTTCCCCCTCCCCTGAGAGGACTTTGCTCTTCTGGCCTCTGCCTATTTAAGCCTCTATAGCTTAGCAACAGACCCTGACACCACTGTTCTAGAAAAGTTGTGGGTGGCTCCCTAGGTGCCACATCCTTCTCCACCTCTGCATGGCATTTGAAACTAATAACCCTCCTCCAAGCCCCTCTTCCTGAGTTCCCAAGCCTGTTGTCCGCCCCCCTCACTCATGTTAATCATGCAACTCTCTGGCTCTGGTGCTCTGCCCTTCCACCCTCAGCCAGCACACTCACTGGCTTCAATGCTTCACTGGAAGAAAAGATTCCCTCCAAGAGCTTTGCAGACAGTGAGTCACTAGAACTTGGTTCATTCCAAACCAGACATATTTCTGACTTCGGGCCTTTGCACAAGGTAGCATCCTTGTGCTACTGTGTATTCCTCTTCTGCTGTCTTACTCCCTGACCCCTACCCACAGTGTTCCCTGCCATCTAACCTGGCTATAGTGGGGTGGTCCTCATTTTCCTCTAGTAATCACAATCGCATAGGACCTTGATGTTTGAAATGTGGTATACTTAATGATTATGAGACTACCGACAAGGTAACAAAAATAGTATGAATAGGGGAGGCCCAACATTTAAGAAATCTCATCTTAAGAAGCTAGGGTCTAGGACCGGGGATTTAGCTCAGTGGCCTAAGTGCCTGCCTGCCACTCTGTCCAGGTTGTGAGTTCGATCCCCAGTACCAAAAAAAAAGAAGCTAGAGTTTGGTTTCCTATACCCAGCTAATCAAGTAAGCCCTGACATTTGACTCTCAAGAAGATTCCTGGACTACTTCAGATCATCCAACTCCAATTGGAACCATCAAGTTTAGAGATCAGGAAAGGATTTCTGGAGGCAGAGAATCCATGCCGCTGGTGCTGGAGGCAGAAATGAGCATCCAAGTTTTCCAACAAGCAAAAGCTTGTTCTCAGGGGTTTGTAGGAATGAGAACTAAAACTCCCCTTCTGTGTGTGGACCTGTGAATGTGTATCAGAGTATACATGTATATAAGTATGTGTTGTAATGTGTGGGTGTGGGGTGGGTATAGAAATGATGGAGGTGTATGAGTATATGTGAATATGTGTGTGAGAATATGCATGAGTATATGAGAGAAAATATTTGTGATCTGGGAGCAGGGAACATCTAATCCCAGCACTCTGTGAGGCTGAGGCAGAAAGATCACAAGTTTGAGCCCAATATATACAACTTAGTGACTTAGTGAGCCCTGTCTTAAAATAAAAGAGCTGTGGATTATAGCTCAATGTGAAGCCGCTGGGCTCAGCTCCAGGGACAAAAGGTGAGAGAGAAGGAGGTAGGTATGTACTCTAAGAGTGTGTTATATGAACATATACATATGGCTCTGTGTGTTTCTGTGATATGTGTGAATGTGTGCATACAGTATGTATAAATGTGTGTATAATATGGTCTGAAGGTATTTCTGCTGTATCTCTGATAGTGTGAAGGTGACCCGCCTATGTAGGTATATGTGGTGTGTGTGTGTGGTATTTATGATTGCGTGTGTTTAGTTGTTTCTGTGTGTTGGGGCCAGTGAGTATGAACAGTGCAACTAGAGGAGGCAGTAGGGGCCAGACTGGCATGGGCTATGAGTGACATGCTAAGGAGCCTGGACTTACTCCTACAGGCAAGAAGCAGAAGCATGGTTTCTAACAAAATGATCAAGTTTGTGCTCTGAAAGTTCATTCAGACCTGTGGGGAAATGGATTCAAGGGAGACAAGACCAAAGCAAGGAGATGGGTTGGACTAAGGTTTTTGAAATCACTCCAGTAGGAGATGATTGTGTGAATTGCAGATAAGCAGAAGTTTATTCAAATTATTTAGTAAGAAAACAGAAACTCTAACCACTTGAGTGTGAGCAATGCTGTAACCAAAACACATCTGTCGTCCTGGCTGAGGTGACTGGGTGACTGATGGTGCAGAACTTGTCATCCCCAGGTCCAGCCAAGGTGTGGATCCTTACAATTATCTGAGGAAATCATTCTCTGGCCACTTTGCCTGTTTCCCCAGTCTAATGACATTCTTCTTCATAGGGACAGGCTCTTATTCTTGAGTTGTCTTCATGAACTCAAATTTCAATTCCTCTTTCTGAGCCCAATCTTCTTGTCTGTTATGCTCTTGGTCAATTCTAGAGGAACACAAAGGGAAATGAAGCTATGATGATACAAGCAGAGATTGGACACATGCCCTGTGGGTGCTCAAAATCATGAACAGTAGATCCCTCAAAGTGCAAGACCAAGTTCAAATGGGAAAAGAAGGGTATGGAATGAAGTTGGGACCAGGGGATAAGCTCCCCCAAGTTACTACATCTTGGTCCATAACTCTAGGAAGTTCAAGTCTAAATTCAATTCTGATCTGCTATGTTGTTACAAAGTTTTATTTGTCAAAGTAAAAAAAAGACATTATTTAACAGTTAGCTTGAGTGATAATGTTCAGCTACTCTGATATATGGCATGTGGGCCTCCATTTGTGCTCTTCCCACAGTCCTGCAAATGCTAGAGGTGAGCCTAGAAAAAGGAAATAAAGTTTTGGAGGAAGACAATGAGTTACATTTTTGACCGACTAATTTAAACATCCACTTGAAATAGTGGTAATATGAGCCTGAAACTCAGAGAAGAGGTCAGGGCTAGACAGAAAACACTCAAGATTTATTTATAATTGAAGACAGAGAGCATAAGACAACTTGGGAAAGTAGACAGTAGGCAGAAGCAGGGTTGGGTTCTGAATAAGGACAGGTAGCAAAGTTGTCAATGGGGCACCCAGAGAGGTAAAAAAATGTTTAGAAGTTTAATAACATAGAAGCCAAGAGCTTCAGAGAGGATAAAGTGTCAAAAAGGTAAAGGCAAACTTGGGCAATATCTTTCACAATAGTACCCAAAAAAGAAATACCTAGGACTCAATCTAACAAAGGATGTAAAAGATGCTTACATTGAAAACTACAGTACTCTGAAAAAGGATATTGAAGAGGATATCAGAAAATGGAAAAACAACCCTTGCTCTTGGGTAGGAAGAACCAATATAGTGAAAATGGCCATACTTCCAAACGTGTTATACAGATTTAATGCAATGTTGATCAAAATTCCAATAGCATTTTTCACAGAATTAGAGAAAACAATCCTCAAAATCATTTGGAACCAGAACAGATCTAGAATAGTAAAAGCAACTAAGGCAAAACAGGGGGCATCAAATTATACTATAAAGCTACTGTGATTAAAAAAAAAAAAAAAAAAAAAAAAAAAAACGGGGGCCAGGGATTTAGCTCAGCAGCATAAGCGCCTGCCTTGCAAGCGTGTAGTTGTGAGTTAGATCCCTGGTGCCAAAAAACAAAAAACAAAAACAAAAACACCAAAAGAGTGTAGTACTGGCAAAAAAAAACCCAAAACAAACAAAACCAGACCCAAGTAACAGATTATAAGATGCAGAAACAACTCCAGACACACTAAGCCACCTTATCTTTGACAAAGGTGCCAAACACATTCACTGGAAAAAAAAGAGAGCCTCTTTAATAAATGATGCTGGAAACACTGGCTCTGCACATGCCTAAGATTAAAACTGGACCTATCTCTTTCACCATGCACTAAACTAAATTTAAAATTGATGAAAGATCTAAATATTAAAACAGAAACAGTAAATCTGCTGGAAGGTAGGATAGGTAAAACTCTTGAAGACATTGGTGTAGGCAAAGACTTTATGAACTGAATTCCAATTGCACAGAAACTATGACAAAGAACAACTGAAATCTTATTTTAAAAAGCTTTTGCGCAGCAAGAGAAACCACCCACAAAGTAAAGAGACAGCCCACAAGGTGGGAAAAAATGTTTGCCAGTTGTTCCTCAGACAAAGGATTACAACCAAGAACATATAAAGAACTCAAAAATATCAGACTTCCTAGATTTAAAAACCCAGTCCAAACATTGGCATATGAGATGAATATGCACTTCTCAGATGAAGAAATACAAACAGCAAATAAATAAATGAAAAAAACCTGAGATAATGAAATACAAACAGCAAACAAATATGTTAAAAAATGTTCAAGGGTCATTTGAGAGACACAAAACAACACAGATTCTACCTCACCCTGGAAAGAATGACTATTATCAAGAAATCAAGCAATAACAAATGCTGGAGGGGCTGTGGGGAAAAAGGAACTCTTCATTGTTAGTGGGAATGCAGACTGATGCAACCACTACATAGTAATCAGTGTGGAGATTCCTAAAAGAACTAAGATTGGAGGTCCCATTTGACCTGGGCATTCCACCTTGGGTACCTTCCCAGAAGAATAAAAATATCACACCACAGTGATATATGTGCACCCATGTTCATAGTAGCACAGTTGTAATGGCTAGATCTTGGAAACAACATGAATGTCCATCAGCCAAGGAATGGATGGGGGTCTCTTTATACAATAGAGTATTACTCAGCCATAAAGAAGGATAAACTGTAGACTTTTTTGGTATCAAGAATCGAACTTACAATATCATACTTATCAGGCAGAGGCTTACACCACTAAGCTAAATCCTCAGTCCTCAACTGTAGACTTTCATAGATAAATGGATGCAACTTGAGACCATACTTATAAGTGAAATAAATCAGACTCACATTTGTAAGTACTGTATTGTCTCCCTGGTATGAGAAGCTTAAAGAGTAATTAAGATCCAAAATGTGTAATAGATATTGTAGAATGAGAAGAAGCTTTGAAAGGAAAGAGAAACTGGGATGGGGAAATGGAGGAAAGAAGGAAGAAAAAAGCAAAAAAAAGGGGCTGGGGATTTAGCTCAGCGGCATAAGCGCCTGCCTTGCAAGCAGGCAGTCGTGGGTTCGATCCCTGGTACCGATAAAAATGAAAAAGACAAAAAAAAAAAAAAAAAAAAAAAAAAAAAAAAGCAAAAAAAATATCTATCTATCTATATGATAGTTAAGATAGTTATACTAGTTTCTCTCAGTTCACTGAAAAGCAAAGTTTTGATAATATTGTTTGGACAATTAAGTGCCAATATCTTATACTCTTGAATAATTTAAAGATAACAATGTGCATGCAATGCATTAGCCATTGTTTACCCTCTTTTTTTTTTTTTTTTTTTTTTTGTCTTTTTCCTTTTTATTGGTACCAGGGATCGAACTCACGACTGCCTGCTTGCAAGGCAGGTGCTTATGCCGCTGAGCTAAACCCCCAGCCCTACCCTCTTATTTTGAAATTGTTTATTTCCTCTTTAAAATAAAATTTTAAAATTTGTTTACAAATTTTTTAAAAGGGTAAAAGCTGTCAGAGTTAAGCAAGAAAAGCACCAAAAATGTCTACAGTTTTTAGTGAACAATCATTTGGCATTTATGAGCTTGGTTAAAGTGATTTCAACCCCACTACAGGTGGGAAAGCCAACCAACATGAAATGAAGAACAACTGAAAATATGAAAAGAAGAAAAGATGGTGACAGTTAGTGCAAGAAATTTGGCTTTTGTGGCACTGGACAGAAAGTAGGCAGTACCTACAAAGGGGCATGGCGTCTAGACTTTCTTCTCATGATAGAAGAGACCTGAATGTCTTTTTTTCTTTCTTTCTTTCTTTTTTTTTTTTTTTTTTTTGAGACAGGGTCTCACTATGCAGTTCAGGCTGGCCTTGAGCTCACTTTGTAGCCCAGGCTGGTCTCGAACTCGCAACGATCCTCCTGCCTCAGCCTCCCAAGTGCTGGGATTACAGGCGTGAGCCACCACACCCGGCTCTTTTCTTTCTTTTTTTGTACTGGGAATCAAAATCATGATCTTGCGCTTGCCAGGCAGGTGCTGAGTTTCTAAATATGTGTAAGAAACCAGAAAAGCCTGAAAGGGTACTTTATGCGGAGGTACCCTTGACTGCAGGAAGAGCATCTCTTCCACTGTCCTAGAAAGGAGAAAGGAAGAAAAGGATGAGTGTGAATGTCAGTTGTTGGGAAATTACGGGAACTCTAGATATATAGCTTCAATTTTCTCTGTAAAACATATTCTCTGTGAGCAAAAGGGAGAGTGCAGGAAATGGAGGTGGTCTGAGAGTGAAGGTTGAAGAACTAAGAGGGGAAGCTGGGAGGTCTGAGTATATACTAAGAAAAATAGCATTAGTCATAGCAGAAATTTCCAAAGGCAGCAGCAACCTTGTGACTTCTTAGCATTTGGTGGCCTGAGAACAGGCATGAGGACAGTAGGCAAGTAGAGTGCTCAGGACTCTAAGCAGGACTCTGGGTGTTCCTTGTATGCTGCTGTTATAGGGAGGAGAGACTCCTCAACTGTGTCAGCTGAGAGATAAGTGGAGACCAAAAGGCTGTTAGGTGGGCAGGAGATAAAGAGGCTAGTGTACCAGAGCTCTGGAAAGGCTTGGAGAGCAGGTGGCTGCGAGTAATCTTCCAACCAGAAGTTAACAACTGTGTGGTCAGAGTAGGGAATCTGAGTGGCAGGAAATGTTAACTGGTGGCCAAATTAATGTCTTTAGGAAGAAATAGGTGTCAAGAAGTTCAGATCTTGGCCCACACACAAGGCAGGTGAGAGGTACAATCTGGACAGGACTCTGACTGGTCCTGAGGGCTCCAGGACTTGCTCAGAGCCCTGCCCTGGCAGAGAGAGATGGATAGGGAGGCAAGGCTGCTGGAGTAACAGACAAGAGAAAGTGAGGGCCAATCTAAGTGCCCAAGACATTAAAACAGTGACTGCACGGAAAATGGGCACCTGCCTGAACTGGTCAGACCTGAAGGTGACAGAGGGTCAGGTTGGCACAGACTGGCAGGGCCAGACAGAGGTTAGCATGGAATACACCAGTAGGACACGATGGCTGGGGTCATATGCTGCTGTCGCTGCCAGGCACCATTTCCTACTACTTAATCCTCCTTACTTCTTCACCTAAACCCATTTTCCTCTCTAGGCCAAATACCTTCCTCCTCATTATCTTCTCTGGAGAATTATAAGCTGGCAAAAGATTTCCCCAGCAGGGGGAAGCCTTCCTCCATCTTTTTAAATGTCTGACAAACCACCTCTCAAATCACATCTTCCCTAACCCAGAACCTTGCTTTTCATATCCAAGACGTGTGCATGCTCTAAAGGCATCCTTACTAGTCCAGGAGCCTCTAATAATAGTGTGTGAGGAAACATCAGTTCATCTGGAGACTGAAGATGTGAGAGAGATCAGATTTTATTTCTCTACCTACAAGGCAGGCTGAGATGGGATTGCTATCAGCAAAAATCTAAAGGGTAAGATTGAGGCGCAGTTTTAAAGCATTACCTGGACACCCCTGAACCCTCCTACCTCAGGGAACTCTCCCTCCGGAATCTCTCCCTCACAGCAATCCATTACCTTCAGGGCCCTGGTTCCCCTCATGACCTCCTTCCCTCCTTTTAGGAACCCACTCTCTTCAGGAACATTTTTTTCCTCAGGGTGCCCTGCCCTCTGGACGCCACTTTCCTCAGGACCCCATCTTCTCAGGACACCGTTCCTCTCGGGACACCTCCTCACCTAGGGACTCTGCACACTTCAGGGCACACTCCCTCTTAATCTCTTCCCCTCAGGACCCCAGCCTCCCAGGATGCCTTCCCCTGGACCCCCACCTTTCAGGGTGCCCTCTCCTCAAGACACAATATCCTCTGATCTCCCTTTACTTCTCCTCACTTCACCCTCCCACTCTCGGGCCACCCCTGTCAAAACCTGGGCTGCGGCAGCTGTCTTCCACTTTCTGCTCACTCTGCAAGCGGCTCAGGTTCTCGCGGAGCTCCCGAGCCCCACCCCCAGAGAGCGGCTCCCCTCGGATCGGGTCCTGTTACACAGCACCGCCTCCCTTGCACCGCAGCGCGGGCTCACGTTCTGGCCCCGCCCATCGTGTGGCTCCTCCCACCGTGCGGTCTACCCGGGCCTGGTGGGACAGCTTCCGGCTGCGGCCTATGCCCTGGTCTTGGTCCCAGCGCTTGGCTGGCAGAGTAGAAGTACGGAGGCCGCGTGGGCTGCCTGGCTTGGGCGTGCACCGCTAGTGGCGGACTCGGTAGCGAAAGTGAGAAAGGCTCGGCGATCGAGCTTCCCCTATATGGCAAGGGAAAGACGGGGAAGGTTTGGGGAGGAAACCAGCAGTTCAAACCATTTAAGTTTAAAAATGAGAAACTGCATTTGTAAATCTTAATTATTTGTTTTTCTTTTTAGCCTCAATTGTCTGATGTAACAACCCAAATTTTCTGTATTCTAAATAAAAATAAACAGGGAACCTCATGTTCTCTGCAAGGTTCTAAAATGCAGTAGGATTTTTAACTCAGATCTAAAGCAATTAAATGCAACTTTTATAAAATTAAAGCACCAGTCTCATACATTTTGCATTAGAAGAGTTACGAGAGTGGAATCTTTGAGGTTTGACAGTGGGGCTCCATTAGATGGAAACACTGCATACCTGGGGTTTGGGCATATTGGTAGAATTCCCCAAATTCAAGTGTCCCATCTCCAGACTGCTGTTGAGTCCTCAGTGACCTGGTGAATGGCACGGGACGAGAGTGACCCAATGTAGCAAGGACACACACTCTCTCCTTCAAAGTCTGCACCTGCAGAGCCTGCAGTGCTGTCCTCTGCAAGGCCCCTGAGCTGCTGGTGTGCCATTCTAAATGTCTGGGGACTCCCCTGTTGTTGGATGGGGATCTCTGAGAAGTCGTTTCCAGATTGCTAGGACTCTCAGAAAGAGTAGAAAGGAGAAAGATGTATTACAATCAAAAGTACACTCTACAGACCTAGGGTTAGTGTGCAGCCCATGTGCTGGGTTTCATAAGGTCCTGGAATCATGGGAGGATCCATAGCTGGGGATTGACAGTAGTCCTGACTCAAAGGGGTAGCTGACTGCGTCCACTCATGAAAAGGGAAACTTTTTGACTATACATTGATTGATTGATTGATTGATTGATTGATTGAAACAGGCTCTTACTATATAGTTCAGGCTAGTCTTAAAATTACTGTGTAACCCAGGCTGGCCTTGAGTTTGCAGCAATCCTCGTGCCTCAGCTTCCCTAGTGCTGGGATCATAGGTGTGCACCATCACACCCAGCTCAGTTCTTGTTCTAGGCTTTCTGTTGTTTACTTCTCCTGTCTTTACCTCCTACCTCTCAACCTCAGTCAGTCTTTTTAAACAAGTTTGTAAGGATGTAATTCACTTAACATACAACGTGCACATGTAAGTGTATAATTCAATAGTTTTTAACCTATTCATAGTATGTATACATTGCCAGAATCAATTTTCTAAGTTTCATCATCCTCTAAAGAAACCTCATCCCCTTTGGCTAGTATACAACTACTCTCCATCTCCTTCCCTGGCTGCAAGCAACCATGAATATGTTTTTATGATTTGCCTATTTATAGATACTCCACATAAATGGAATCACATGTGTAGTCTTTTGTGACTGGCTTCTTCCACTTGTCATGTTTTCAAAGTTTATCTGTTATTATAGCGTCAATTAGAACTGTTTATGTTGTTTGTTTTGTTTTGTTGAGATAGGGTCTTGCTAAGCAGTTCAGGCTGCCCTTGAACTCAGTGCATAGCCCCGGGCTAGCCTTGAGCTCAGAACAGCAGTCTTTCTGCCTCAGCCTCCCAAGTACTGCAATTACAGGGGTGTACTACCACACCTAACTTTAATCAGTATTTTTGGTTAGAGTTAGGAGTTTGTTGGGTTTTAAGACTGAAAACTTCTCCATGGTGTGGGTGTACTACATAGTCAATGGACATTGTTTCCTCCGTTGAGAAAGTATGAACAATGCCACTAGAAGTATTCATGTTCAAATTTAATGCATATTTTTTTCATTTCTCTTACATATAGATCTAGGAGTGGAATTATTAGGTCATATGGTAACAACATTAATTGTTTGAGGAATTGCCAACTATTTTTCCAAAGCAGCTACCCCATTTTACATCCGCATCAGCAATAAGGGATCTAATTTCTCCAAACCCTTGTCAACACTTATAATCATCTAATTTTTCAATTGTAATCACCCCAGTGGGCATGAAGTGGTATTGTATTGTGGTTTTGACCTGTGTTTTCCTCATAAGTAATGGTGATGAGCCTCTACAATGGGCATGTGTATATCTTCTTTGAAAAATGTCTGTTCACTTTACTCTCTTTTATATTCTTCAGTCAGATTTAATTTTGCTTTCTTTTTAAATTGGACCATGTCTTTTACTGTAGAGTTGTAAAAGTTCTTTAAACTGGATACAGCCAGGCATGGTGGCATGTACTTTAATCACACCAATCAGGAGGCTGAGGCACGAAAATCACTCTGAGTTTGAGGCTGAACTGGGCTATATAGTGAGATCAAGACCAACCTGAACCACATAGCAAGATCGGGTCTCAAAATAAATAAATAGGATCAGGGATATAGCACAGTGGTACAGCCCATACCCAGCAAGCATGAGGACATAAGTTTGATCTCCAGTACCAAAAATAAATAAATAAATAATAAATAAGATACAGTTTCTTAGGGCCAGGGATTTAGCTCAGTAGCATAAGCACCTGCCTGACAAGCATGAAGTCATGAGTTTGATTCCTGGTACCAAAAAATATATATATACAGTTTTTTATTTCTTATCAAATATAGGAGTTACAAATATTGTCTCCCATTCTGTGAGCTGTTTTTTTTTTTCACTTTCTTGATAATATTTTTCAAAACACAGCAGTTTTCAATTTTGATGAACTCTTAATTTATTTGCTTTTCATGTTTTTCTTACTTTTGGTTCTTCTTTTTCTAGTTATTTAACATGTACTGTAAGGTTATTACTTGAGATCTTTTTTTTTTTTTTTTTTTTTTTTTACCTGAACCTAGAGAGTACAAAGCCATACATTTGGCACTCAGGTTTTTGTTTTTTTTTTTTAAATTTTTTTAGACAAGGTCTTACTCAATTGCCTAGTTTAACCTTGAATTTGTCATCCTCCTGCCTCAGCCTTCCAATTATCTGGGATTACAAGTATGTATCAAAAAACCTGACCACTTGGCCTGTCTTCCTTTTTTCATTTTTTTGATGTTTGTTTGTTTGTTTGTTTGAAACAGTGTTTCACTATGAGTGTAGCCTGCAGGTTGGCCTCAGTCTTTTTTTTGGTACTAGGAGTCTGACTCATGGTTGCTGGGCAGGTGGTGTGCCACTGAGCTACATCCCCAGCCCAGCAACCTCACTCCTGAAGTGATCCTCTTGCCTCAGCCTCCTAAGTGCTCAGGTAACAAGCATGTGCCACCACATCAAGGCTTGCTTGCTTGCTTTTTTTGTTGTTGTTGTTTTGTCTTCTTGTTTCAAATCTATTTTATTTTTTTCCAAATCCATTGTATTTTAAGGAGAAAAATAAAAAGAAAGAAGAAAAAAACTCAACACATCAGAAGGGCAACAATAGTACATAATATTGCAGATTGCCACCCCCCAAATCATTCACCCAGAACACAAGATATCTGCATTCAGTTGTCTCAACAATATCAGCACAAATCTTTCTCTTCAGTGAACTCAGAGAAATCAGTAGTATAACTATCATAACTATTTTATACACATATACATATTTGTATGTTGTTTCTTCCAGCTTCTCATCTCAGGGAGACAATATGCTTACATATGCATGTCTGATTTATTTCACTAATGAGTATGATCTCAAATTTCATCCATTTACCTATAAAAATCTCCAGTTTATCCTTCCTTATGGCTGAGCAGTACTCTATTGTATAAAAATATCACATCTTGAGCGCCATGTACAAGCTGCTGAGGGGACAGCCAGACCCAGCCTTTTCCCTTGAGCCAGTGCCACTTGTGGATTGTGGGGGAAGAGAACAAGCAGTCGCCAAGAAGCAAGCCATCCCTGTGAATCAGTGCTATGTACGGGCCACCAGGGGGACAGTCAAGCTCCAGCCCCTTCCAGCACAGAAGCTGGGAAATAAGAAGAGCCAACCCCACCTTACGCCCACCCTCACCCTGCCAAGCCACTGGCTCATCCAGAGAAATACAGACTGAAATGATAGGTATTGAGGTGAAATGCAATTTGGTGCTGCAGTGTTTGGTGTTACTGACTTTGCAGGTCTTGGGCCAGTGGTCTGATCATCCATTCAGAGGATATCGGTACTCAGTGTGGCATCTAGTGGGGTCTCCTTGTGAAGGTGCTGGCCATTGTTAATTCCCTATTGTCTTGTTTTGAAGGGCTACGTCATATTCATTGTTTTATTGGGTTGGGTTTTATTCTGTTTTGTTTTGTTTGATTTTGTTATACCTGATGGCGTGGGCAGTTATTTTAAAGATAGCAAGATATATTATGGTAACCATTTGGGATTTACTATTGTCTTGCTTTGAAGTCCTTTATTGCATTAATTGTTTTATTTTTATTGGTTATATTCTGTTCCATTTTGTTTGATTTTTACTATGTCTGGAGGTATCTGCAGTTACTTTGAAGACAACAAGAGGCATTATGATAGCCATTATTGATTTCCTATTGTTCTGTCCTGTGTCACTTACACTTTTTTTTTTTAAGAGTGGAATATATTTATTAAGAGAAAGAACCGGGCGTGGTGGCTCATGCCTGTAATCCCAGCACTCAGGAGGCTGAGGCAGGAGGATCATTGCAAGTTCGAGACCAGCCTGGGCTACAAAGTGAGCTCAAGGCCGGCCTGAACTGCATAGCAAGACCCCATCTCAAAAAGACAGGAGAGAGAGACAGAGAGAGAGAGAGAGAGAGAGAGAGAGAGAGAGAGAGAAAGCTGCTATCTGGGAGAGAGAGAGAAGGGGTCCTGAGTTGGTTGCCCTCCCAAGTGGGTTGCCCCACTGGTTTTGATTGGCTTTATTCTGTTTTATATTGCTTGGTTTTATTCTCTTTAAAATAAAAAAAATTTTAAATGCATCATTTTTATCCACTCCTCGGCTGATGGGCATTTAGGTTGTTTCCAAGATCTAGCTATTCCAAATTGTGCTGCT